TGTGGTGGAGAAGCACCTTGGGGAATGAATAATTCCATTACAAGCTACATAGTTTAGAGGGTACTCAGTAAATAAGACCTCAGACTTCATCACTGAATGATAAATAATTAGTATGAAGCAAACTTCCGCCTATTTTAATGTGCACACTTACTCCTCTTTGAACAGCAGAACGGTGGATACATGCAATTGCTGTCTGGTTCAACATGTGAAAAGTGTTGAGCATCCAGTGGAGCACAGGCTGTCACTGGTGCTTCTGCTTGTTTCAGGAACAAGAATTACGCATGCAAAAGGAGCAGTTCTCCTTTCATCTCTCAGGTGAGGAGGTAGGCAGAAAACCCAGTCTCTCATTTCCAGTAAGAATAGAACAGTTATGCCTGTGAATGACATCAGGAAAAGCTGTAGTTACTGAACAGGGTGGGTTAATGTTTAATTGCACAGCAGTTAGTGTATTAGTGATGAATACTTTTTTATCCATTTGAAAAAGTATTATAACTAGATGGATATGTGAATTTATTATGATGGAAGGCGGGCCTTGGTATCAGCGGAGTAGCCATAAGTTAGAACATCACCTGGAAGCTTTGAGAGAGTTTAAGCAAAGTGTTGCGGCGTTTTTTCTCTATTTTTTTTTTCCTACCATGTGCATATAACATTGTAAATGTTTGGCTATAAAAATTAAGGAAAAAAAAAAAAGGGGGAGGGGGGTTCCACCTTCTGACTTCAGAGATTTCATTATGAAGGACTCGCTTAAAAACAAGAACAGTATAAATTGCCAGAGCAGGCTGTACTTTTTCTCGTCTGTCACAAACATGGTGTTTCTGTAGAAATTTCTTGGATTTGACTTACATGGAAAAGCAGAGACCATTGTCACCTTCGCAAGACTTTCAACGATCGCTTCCTACAGCAGATTAATGGTCAGAAGGAGTAACATGGTCATGAAAAAGATGATGATGCAAGTTCTATCTGTAGTAGAGTCATAATCAACAAAGTAAACGTAATTGTTTTAATTGTTTTAGTTCTGCTGAGATTTATGTGAGTAAAAGTACTACTATTATTAATACTTAGTACTTTATTAAGCTTAGGTGTACTTGTGGCCTGTACTGTTGCAGGTTTTGAACAGAGCAGGTAAAAACTGTAGCCAGCACAGCATTCAGGAGAATGGTCTTTTATATAAGATTTTCAAGATGGAACACCTCTTCTTTTTTTTTTTTTTTTTTTTTTTTTTTTTCTTTTAAGCAGAAGAACTGTCTGTACAACATAGGCAAGTACTTTTGATGTTTTACAGGCATCAGTTGGAATATAATCCTGCTCTTTCACAGTGTTTACACTATTATCTTTGCCTGAAGAAGAGACTTCTAACAGATGGATTGAGTGCAGAATAATGACTCATAGTGATGTTTAGATTTTAAAATGGGAAAGACAGATGAGCTTAAGATGAGGAGAGAGATGGGAACAGCGTGCAAAGAGAAGTCCTGATGCCTCTCCGATAGAAGGTTGTGTATTGGTGTAGACAGCACTGATTTCAAATCAAAGGAAAGTGGACCAAAAATGAATTTAAGTCAGAAATTTGTTTCATTCAAAGTTGAAATTACTGTGTCCTACTGAACCCACATCTGTATGAAACATGTCAAGAACTTTATGGCATGTTCCTTGAAAGACAGCTGTTTTCTGGATGTATGTTATGGTTCTCCCACTTAGTTTCGTTTGTGTTTTGTGCTTTTGTATGTGTTTTCATAAATGTCCTACCTGATCTAAGCCTACTAAGGCCTTGTTGGTTACTGGAAAGAACAGTCCTTGTCAGCTCCATGATGCTGTCCATAGTCCTTGCAGCGTCAGTCAAAATGGATAAGTAATCACACTGAAAATTAATATCACCAAAGAAGACACCTTAGGATTGGTTTTCAGTCAGACCACTTTTCTGACAGACTAGCAAAAAAAATGCCTGTTGGCTATAAGGTGAATTTAGATCTCTTGAACTCATTATAAACTGTCTCATATAAGATCATTTCCCTGTGCTATCTTAAAACAGATAAAGTGAGAAGCTGTGGGGCATGTAGGATGAAGTACCTTTTCTTGTTTCATAAAACTGTTAATCCTGAGGAGCAGTCACGGGTTCAACCAAGTCATTTTAGTAGAAGGA